TTCTTTGATTCACCAACCGTGAAACTGATGCTTTTATCAAGACCTTTGAGCTTTAAGTAGGCAAGGCACCTGGAAGCCCAAGGACAAGCATATGACACATAAAGATGATATCGTCCGGATTCTGCAGGAAATTGGGAATCTGGATGGCGGGATATGAAATTCCGGAATGTTGAAGCTGTTCTAATGAATGCCCCCGAATCTGATGTCTCATCTAATGCAGAACGAGCCATCTGAAAAGGGCACTGAAGAAATTAATCACTTGTTGAGATAACTATGAGAAATCCAGAATTCAATAAACAAAAAAAGGAACAAAAACTTAACTAATTCATAGATAAAAAATCTTCACAGTGACCCAAAAAATTATTAAAACTTCTAAAAATACAAAACGTTCTGTAATGCATGAAAATAAACTAGCATACACAAGAAAAAACCAAAAAAAGGAACAAAACCTTGGGAGTCGACTACTAATTCTTAGGCTTATTAACTTAGCTATTTCCCCGCGTTTGTTTGACTTTACTTACAAGGAAGACTACATGATCATCAACTCAACCATAATCACGAACTCAGAAGCGGCAGGCAAAACTACCCAAATATCCAAGAAATCTATACGGTATGATTGGCAGCTATTCCTTTCGAAATTTTTAGCGAGTCATAAAGACATCTAAATGGATGATTTCCACATGGTTCAGTGGATCGTCAAATTCACAAAAACATCAAGACAGTGCGCGATTAAGGAACAGTCGAGCGACAGTGAATTCATAAAATTACGTAAAACAACAAGGTGTCAAATAACATTTGAGATTCATGATTACTATAAGAGAATACAAATTGATTCAGAGGTAGTATTACCTTTCTTTGCAAGTAGCGATAAAAATCTTGATTTGAAGCGGCTGAAAAGTTGAAACTAGGACGATGGTAAATGGACTTCAGCTTGTGTATCATATAAAACCAGAAGATGGATCCCACCAAAAAGGATTGAGTTGCCGAATAGAAAGATTAAGGAAACAAATCAAAGTAAGGTTAAGTGCTGAGCATCTTGACGGGCAATTTCATTTTTTGTGCCCAACTAAAACAGACTGCGGCTTGCTAAACATTTAGGCTTAATATATAATAATAATAATAATAATTAGATGATAATTATATAAGATAAGAATAATAATTTTTTTTTATATTTAAATAATTGTATATTAATTAATGTTAATAATAATTATTTTATTTAGATAATAAAATAATATGATTATATTTTTAATTAAATTATTAATTTATTTATATTTTATTACATGTAATAATAAATAATAAATAATAAATAATAAAAAAATAAATTATATAAGAATATAATTAAATTTGTATTTAAATAAATAATTATTATATATAATTAAATTAAATTTTAATATTTAATAAAATAAATAATTATTATTTATATTAGTATATTAATTTAATTTTAATAAAAATAAAATTATTTATATATTAAAGTAATTATATATTATTATATTAAATCTAAAATTATTTTAAAAAA